TATAGAAAATTACTGATATAATTCTTTATAAGATAGAAAGTACTATATAAAAGTATTATAACCTTTAACTTTAAACTTAATATAAACCTAGTATATTAGTATTAATATAAATTATTTTTTAAAATAAAAAAGAAGTTAAATCAAAAAAGGGTCTTACTTAAATAGTTAAGAATTATTATATAAAAGGTAGAGTATATATAGTAATAAATTAATAAAGTATTACTATAAAAAGGGAGTAATTAATTAAACAGCTAAAGGTATATATTACTATTCTTATAAAGAAGAAATAAAAAGAGTTTTAATTTTAAAGAAAAAGGTTAATTTTCTATAAGGTTTTCCTTATACTTAGGATTTAGTTTATAGAAACTAAGTAAAGCTTTTATACTAGCTAAGAACTAGCTATAAGATAATAACTAAAGTATAGTAAATATAGAAATCACTTACTTTATTTACAAGAAATAAGAGTATAAAGTATTAAATTATAAATTTAAAGAAAATTTAAATTATATATTACTTAGATAAGATAACTTAGTAATAAAGATTTAAAACGTTACTATAAATATAAAAGAAATATTTTTATTAGAATATTCTATAGATTTGAAAAACTAAAATATATAGATATTAAGATTAAATAACTTATATAAGTAATAAATAGTATTAAGTTAAAAAAGAAATCTCTTAAGGTACCTATTAAGCTAAACAAAAATAGAAAGGTATTAGTTTTATACTAGGTTATAAAGATAGAAATTAAGGTTTTATCAAATATAAGAATAAAGGTTGATATGATTAGTATATAGCTAATAAAGAAGCTTTAACTTTAACTAGTAATAGATTATATATTCTTAAACCTTAAAAGTACTTTTTATACTTAAAGAAAGAGAATATAATATTAACTTAAAAGAAAAGTAAAAACCCTCCTAAGGATTACTATACTTACTAAATTAAGCTTAGTCTAAGGTATTAAAGGAATATATTATAAAGAATTTAGTAAATAGCTAGATTTAATACTTTAAAAGTAAAATAAGTATACTAATACTTTTTATATTAAAGAAAAATAATAGTTTTTCTTTACATATAAATTATAAAGAATTAAATAAAGTTATAATTAAAACTTAACCCTTTTTTATTAATTAGTAACTTATTAAATAAACTTTTAAAAGTATAATAGATTTTTAAAGTTAATATTAAAAATACTTATTATAGAATTAATATTAAAAAGTTAAATTAATAGGAAATTATATTTTATATAAAATATAGATATTTTAAGTATAATATTATATTATTTAGCTTAATAAATACTTTAGTAATATTTTAAATATATATCTATTAAATACTTATTAACCTATTAGGTATATACTATTTATCATCCTCTTTGAACTGTAAGTCCCAGGTTAAATCCATCTTCAATGTTATAATCAATAGCGACCTCTTCCAGTAAAGTCAAATCTCAATAAGTCAGGTGTACATATCGTATCAGCCACTGAACTCTAATGACGGTGAACATATATATATCACAACAGCTGCCAAGCTGTACGCAAGGCGACTTCTTCCTTCTTCCACCTTCCACCTTCAATCAACCCGACACAACAAGCTGCTCTTCAGTCAGTCAGTCAAGTCTTCGTCATACGACGCACCAAGCTACTAGTCAGTCAATCGACCCCGGTTCCTGCCCTTCGCTGCACATTGCTAACTGTCACAGCTTGCCCACGATGCCGGCTATCGTACGAAGGACCCTAACCAACGGCCTTCACTCCGAAGTGAAGGTCACCCTGTCGTACGGGAAGATCAAGGATGCCCTTCGTAATTGTAACGATATTAACAAGCTCAAGCGACTGCAGGCCGAAGCGAAAGATCTAAGGGAGACCCTTCCAAGCTGGGATCTCAAGCCCATGCTCCGGCAGCCCCGTGTCGTACGGGACGATCAGAGCCTAGCCAGGCTAGCGGCCTTTGGCTGCGAGCTTCTATTACTCTATGGCAAGAGGCTATCGTCGTTGAATCGTACGCGGCTTATGGGGGATAGTGTGGATTCGGAGCTGGAGTAAGTATATACTATATTATATATATAAATAATATTTTAATATTCTTTAAGATTTAAAAGTAATATATAAAAAACTTAAAAGAAATCCTATAGAAACTTTATATTATATAACTCTATATAAAATAATTAAAATATAAATCTTATAAGTGATAAGTTAAGTTCTTAGGGTATATGATTTTCTTTAAAAAAATAAAGATAGATTAGTAGTAAATAAAATTTATTAAAAAATAAAAAGTACTTATAATATTTAAAGATATCTAAGTTTTCTTAGGATTTTATAATTTTTATAGAAAGTTTATATTAAAATACTTTAGTATTATAAAACCTCTTATAGTATTACTAAAGGGAAGTTAAAATAAGAAAAAACTAACTAAGTTCTAGTAACTAGATTTAATATAAAGTATATTTTAAAAGTTAAAAGATATTTTTTATTCTATACTTATTTTTTAGTATTAAGATTTTATTATACTTATAGAAGTAAAAATTACACTATTAATAATACTATTAATAACACTTGGTTATATATATTAGCTAAGGTAGTAGTAAAGGATAAGGAGGGTATATAACCTATTATATAACGTAGATTAATTAAACTACTAATAAGCTAGTTATTATTTTTAACTTTAGGTAACCTTAACTCTAACTTTTACTAATAATATAGTATAAATAATATATAAATATAATCCCTTTTTGAAACCTTATATACTTAAATCTTTCCCCCTAGAATACTAATATATTATTGTAGCTATATTATATTATACTATAGGGCTTTCTTAATACTAAAGTAGTTAATTATATAGTTTACTTACTAAGCTAGATAGAGGAACTAGTAGTTATAATACCTACTACTAGCCTTATTAAGGAATTACTATTTATCACTATCTAGGTTAATATCTAAGTTTAGCTTTATAGCTAATCTATTTAATACTACTATCTTAATTAAGAGGGCCTACCTTTCTATAGTAAGGCAAATAAGAAGGAAAAGTAAGTAGCTAAAGGCTACTAAGATTACTTTTTTATTAAAATCTTTCCCTAAATTCCTTACTACCTAGTACTCTAAGTATCTAAATAGATATAGCTTAAGGATTACCTTAATACTTAGTTTATTAAGGTTCTTACTATTAAAAGTATAGTGTGACGGTTGTGGTTCCCAAGGGATAAACTAGTCCGTACTAGGTTTATGTTGGCAGATATGTAGGGCGTAGATACTGAGCTTTGCGAAGTGTCACGTCTCTTAATAGTGAATGAGGCGGGTTAGGCGTATTCAGGTAAAGAAGTCTTATTGATAGCTGGTGAGCTAAGTGTTCTATCTAATGCTAAAGGAATGTATATATACATAGATGAAGAGTGTGGACCGGTATAGTATTTGGGTTGGGACCGCTGTGTCAAACCCGTCGGTCCTGGACCGTGGTGGTGATGGTTCGTGGACCGATGATTCGAGGCGTCGGTCCAGAGAAGCGGTCTTTGATTGGTGAAAATTATGGGGCCCACGTGACGTAACCGCTGGGGTCGTAACATTAACGTATTCTTTTTATATAATAGCTTAATGTTAAAGTTAGTATATTAATAAAAAGACTTAGCTAAACTTTTTTATATAATTAGTATCATAAGTAAGTTATAATAATTAGTAACATATAACAAAAAGTAAGTACCAAGGTTAATTAACTAATTAAACCAGCTTAGTATATCAAATAATAAAAATTTAATTAAGTAACTAATTAGAAAGTAAATAATTGTTTTAAGGTAATTGAAGGTTAAAAAGACAAAAAGAAAGGAGTTACCTTAATTATAGTTTAGTAGTTATTAATATATATATTTATTAATATTTAAGTTTACTAGCTAATAAAATCTATATACTTTACTTATTAAGATTTAACTTTACTAAGAAAGATTAATATTAATTATCATATTATAAATAAGTTTACCCTAAGACTTATAATTTAAAGAGGATAATATATAAACCTTATGATATAATAAGTTATAATTACGAACTAGTTTATAATAAGGCTATATAAAGTAAGTAAAGCCTTTACCGTTATACTATTAAGTTATATTATAGTAATAGCTAGGTTAAGAAGATATATAATTTTAGTTATATAATTTAAATTCATTAAAGCTATTAGCTAAGCCTTTTTTAATTTTATATAATTCAACTTTATTAACTTCAACATATAGAATCTAGATATATCTCTTTTTTAAAAACCTTAACTTTGTAAACTTTTTATTCAGAATACCATATATTAATACTATTATAAAACTATAGTTTTAAATCATAGATAATTTACTAAAACCTTTAGTTTAATTAATCAATTTAAAGTAATTGATTATTATATTTAATTACTTCCTTAAGTCTCTAAATGACTTAGTCATTTCAAGTTTATAAAGGTAGCTAAATTAATATTTCTAATTATAAATTTAAACTTCTCTTGATAATATTATTAATAGTTTCAGGATAGTAATCTAAACAACACAATAAATGTCTTATCAACATCCGCCAAGCCAAGTCCTGCCTCATACTAGGGGAATACGTGTGTTTACCTGAGGACTTTCTGACTTAGCCGTTAGCTTTAGTGAGAGGCTCACGATCGTCGAACTGAAATACATGGTGAGTCTCACTTTTGCAGGAGGCCCACATAAGCGCAAAAATGTACACTAGTCTAAGAAGCAAAGTGGACATACTTGGTAAAGCTTGTATTGAACTTTAACCACGTGTACAAAAAGTTAGGCTTTAATGCGGAAGCAATATGAAAATGTGTTTGACCCGACGGGCATGTATATACATGTGAAGTGTAATACAAAGTAGAAGAACCCCTGCCTCCTTTGTATCACGTGTGGCATTGGAGTACTCTTTCCAGTCGTTCGTAAAGAGTGATACGCACTCTCCCTGCGTCTAGTCACCAGGGCGGGCCAAGTTTCTATAGTGATTACCATCATGGCGTAATACATATAAGCGAAGCTGCGTTTACAGAGCAGCGGCCTTCTCGCCGGTGCCGTACATGATGTTCTCAACATTCATATTGAGCTCCTTTTGGGATCCGAGACCACTGGGGCACTCGGGCTGGTTGCTGACGTCTAGGTTGAGGTGGCACTTCTCGTCGACGCCATGCTTGCATACGGAGTCGTGAATGTTGTACAGCTGGTAGTTCTGGGCGACCCAGCTCTTAGGATCTCTGAGGCAAGAGGTGACATAGTTCATGGAGTTGGCGGCGGCGAGGGGCAGCTTGCCATTGTCGAGGATGTCCCTGCATTTGGAGGCGTGGACGTACTCGTAGTTCATGGCGATACCACCATCCATATGGGGGTCCTTGGTTGCTGAGCTGCCGAAGCCAAGGTAGTTCCAGGCATCATACGAGATATCGTGGGCACTACTGGAAGAGCCGATCTTGAGTAGGTAGACGGAGCGGCCCTCGTTGGAGACCCTAACGCAGATGTTGTTACAGTCGACGGAGCTAGGCCAGTAGGCGACGCGATTGGTGTCGATTTTGCAGCCCAGGACTCCGACGCTGGATTCGTACATGTCATGGGGGGTGATGCTGGCGAAGCCAGACTCACCTCGAGGGTATGAGACGGCAGAGGCCAGGACAGAAGTGGCTGCGATGATGGTGGCGAACTTGGTGAACATTTTGAAGTATATATTTTTGTTTATTTGAACACTGGCTAAGCCTGGTATTTGCAAATACTCAGCGTAAAAAAGGATTCGGACAAAGGAGTAAAGACAGATCTCAGACGGCCAGTCGAGCGAATGACAAAGAAATAGCGAAGGGGAAAAAAAAAATAAAAATAAAAAAAGGAATGTCGTAGAGAGTGTTTAAATTGGTGGTGGAGGTGACGCGCTTTATGTACAGGAGCAGGAGAGGCCTTGACTCCCGGAATCTTATTCAAATACATGACTGTAATCGACCCCTAAGAATCCGTTTTTGGGCTGAAATATCACCGCGTCGGGCCAGACTCCAGGAGCTAAGAGAATATATTCAGGATAACCTCGACGATTAGGACCCTGATATGGCTATTTTGAATACATAATAATGACCGTGGTGGTAGCTGATGCCCGCGTAAGCCTCCACAGCTAGATCTACTAGATGCTTGAAAGGCTAGCCAATACCATGTGTACGATATAACTAGAGGATATCAAGGTCCATTCGAAGACGTATGAACTATACGTAGGACCGAAGCAAGCCTTGCCGAGGCTACGGAGCCGATGTGTATGCCAGTCCTTCCAATTAAGTATTCGATCAAGAGTAGGCCGAGCTTCTGGGGTTCCTCGTATCTGGAGAAGGAGTCAAACGTACCCAGGATGGATCAAGTGACCCAGGAACGGAGGGAGCCGAGTACCTAGCGAAAAATTAGAGCCTTTTTGGGGGTTTGCAGCTTCCAAGGCGCCTTCGCTTACAATTACTCCAGGATTGTATCTTCGCTGATAGAACCGTTAAAAGGTACTGTATGTAGTAAGAACTACAAGAAGTCAGTGTTATTAGAGCTTCACAAAAACCAGAGTTGGACTTTTTGGACCTTTATGTAAGATTTTTAAAAGCGTCCTTTAATAGAAAGTATTTTGGTTCGACTCGTTGCACCCCCCTCGAAACGGACGCGAGTGATGCACCAGTGGAGGGCCTCTTGTCGTAACCTAACAATGAGGCCTGATACTATCCTGCAGCGTTTTGGTCTCGGACAGACACCGATGAAGATGCACGATATGGCATTCCTGACGCAAACGTCATGACTACCGTGGAAAAGTTCAAACAGTGGCAACATTACCTCAAGGGGTCGCTATCTCAGGAGTGGTCTCAAGAACCAACAGTCTTTCATGAGGAGTACCAAGCTGAACTGGAAGAAGGCTCGATGACGTATATACCCAATGCCCTATGGCTCTGGTCTCAAGCATAGGAAAGGGACTCAAACCTTGTCGATATACCTTACCGGCTAGCAGGTATCGGAAACCATGGAAACTGTGCTCAGGAACTCTCGAAGTCGTTGGAAGGCAAGATGTAAATAGAAGTGAAAACGGGGCGCCAAGCTTAAGAAGCATCACCACATACCAAAGAATTGGTGAAATGCTAGAAGCAGCCTGTTATCTATCTTACAGGGCAAGGGTGGTAGAACGAAAGCTAAGAACGCCATCGTCGGAGAGTATGACGGTGCAATTCCCAGCTCCCCATTCGTTAACAGCCATCACTGTGAGTCAACTTCTAGCCACAGAACACATCGTCATCCTGCACGCCTGATGAGTCTTGTAAAGACATGGAGTAGTATAACCTCGACGTATCCACAACGTGGTGATCTTTACTTTGCGATCAAGTCTTGTGCGTTACTAGTCATGGCGCGAATTGCTCAGACATGTGAAACGAAAGGAGAGGATGCCCGAAATCAGACACGCCCAGCATCCTGACGTGGCTTTCTAGCCGGAGATTGAATGGTCAGGCGATCTGTCGGCTTGGCCTTGCTGTTAGATACACACACGTCAACTTCAGATGTATTTTCCACAAATTTCACAATCTGCTACGGCTGCACGATGTGAAGAAACAGACAAAAGGAAGCTTGGCAGCGTTTCTGGGCACGAAAACTCCCTATATGGGTGTCATGGAAGCATAGCAAGAACAATGCTGTCATGATGTAAAAGATTGTGTGGCTTTTCATTGAATCTTCTGGTAAATGACCTCGATCTACCCAGTGTCCAGACAAGACTCCCGGTATTGTACGCTTCTGATTGATAGCGCCCAGGCCCGCCTGATTACTTCCAATGCTGGTCTTCGGAAACTATCGCCCATTTCTCCTACTACTACTAGATGTAGAACAAGTGGTTCTGCAATGTGAACGCCTTCGCATCGTCGCCAATACCGCCGTCCTCCACTCATCATGAGATAGACGTCCAAGCGCTAGTCGTATCGCTCAGATACACCGAGGAGAGGGTTTCGAAAGTGGGAAATACTCAGATTTCTGCCAAAAGAAGATGCGACCTTCTCAGAGAATCAGGGGGCAGTGGGCTAAAGGGCCGAGATTGGGTAGTACCGCTTGGCAAGCGCGGGAATAATTCTCCCAAGACTCGCCAATGGCGCTCTGGGCAACTGACTTTAGACACTGCCCGTGAGAGGACCCCTGAACTGCGGGAAGAGTAGAGTTCCCTTCGTTGAAGAAATGACCTGTTAAGCGAGGTTCAGTCCAGATAGGAGAAAAGAAGTTCGACTTCTCATATTCAGTTGCCTCGGAGTAGTCTTGGAGAAGCAAGGAGAGACTGCTGGCAAAGGGTGAGCATTCTCGAGGGTTGATGTGAAGACTGGGAGAGACCTAAGACAGGCGGGCTGTAGACATCAGAAGATCGTTGACCAGTTTGAGGGTCGACGTAAGGAGGCTGCTGCATCGGTGTGTGCGCGGCAGCGTTTGCGTCTCTCAAGTCTTCCATAGCCAAGTCAGGGTATAAAGCCTTAACAGGAACACAAGTTCGCAACTCAAGGTCCTTTGCTGGTCGCGGGGGTCTATCTTGGCCACCTTGAGTGCGGCTAACACGAAATGTGGTGGACATATTGGCCACTACAAGTGGTTATGTTGAACGACTTCTTCACAAGACCGTCTAGCTTTAAAAGGTGCCCCTTGGGCTCCCCGCCGTCTTTGTCCTTATCAAGACCGCCATTAGAGCACGGAACTTTATCATGAATCGGTCGGCTGGTAATGCGTCCGCCTCGCTTGCCTTCCAGCTCATGGTATATGAGAAAGCTTCCTTCAACCAGACTGGCACACCATAACTTGCCATCAGTCCATCTCGGAAACAGCAGGCAACTATGATCCAAACTGCGAGTGCCGTAGCGTAAGGCCCGTTCCGGATCATTACTAGAACTGCAAGGGCTACTGTTGCCGTAGAAGTGGATAGTGACATATGCCAGAGAAAGTGCTTAGGGTGCTGGTCTGGGTAGGTCGCTGTTGGTGAGAAGTCTAGTGTTCTCGGTAGCCGTGTTCTAAAGCGCCATCAGTGAACAAGTCTCGATGAAGATGTCAGATGAGAAAAACAGGCGAGGATGAGAGTGATCGAGAGACGTATAGTTGATATGTCGGGCATTTTGCAAAGCGGATAAGAATAAGATTTATAGGCAAGAAATGCGTGCTGATCGCCTTGTCCGCAGTGTTTGCCTTGTTTGTAGCGAATCGCCGCAGATCATTGACGTATTTATAGTCAATCATGACCATGGCATTCCAGGATCCGAATTCAACAGACTTGCGGTTCCTGCAGCCGTTCCGTTCAACGCACTGACTGTCTCATCTGTTCTATTTGGTACAAGGGCTACCCAGTTATCTTGCCGATTTTGAGGCGAGATTGTAAAATATCTAATAGACTTTTTCTTCCTCGTACCGAAGTTCAGCCCGTTGATCTTGTGCAGTTTGCACCTCTGCCCTTGCAAAATCGTGGAAACTGGACATACCGTACTCCAAGCAGATGATCCCGCGTCGACGGTGATTTGCCGAGCGTTTTACACATGGAACTGCAATTCATGGACAATGTTCCTGCCACACGTGACATATTTTTTCCAACAGACCAGAGGATCATGACCATCAGACGACATATTCGCTTGTGTAGATCCAGACTGAGATTTCGCCTTGAAACTGGATTGGCACGTTTTCATCACGGGGGATCTCGCCTTGACGAGATTAAATTGACGTATCCTGATTATCAGAGGCTTCGGCCCTTCCTCTTTTAGCTGGTCATTCTTCGCTTCTATCGGGGAAATCCCGTGGATTCGAACTCTGTGGAGCATCCGGAGCTACTATGGAAAGGCTGGCTTCTCCTTTCAGGCGGACTGGACTTGGTGTGCGGCGTGGAATCTGTCTTTGTGACCTGTAGGTAGCAATGAAAAGGACTTTTGGAGAGGCAAACTCCCGAAGCTCGGAATGGCTTTTTGCGCCGACACTTCGTGCTCCTCTTGACAACTTGGAGCAGAAATTTGTATTTGGCGAGCGATCGCACAAAACAGGCCTCGTTCTCTTCCTTGTCTGCATAAAAAAAAACTACCACGCAGTGGTGTGCACAGCAGGCCAAAGTATCCCCACAATTCTGTACCGTTGAGCGGCGATCCTACGGTATGTGCTAGGTACTGAAGACCAGACTGTCAGACATCCGGCCTTCTGACTTTCTGTAGGGGGGCACCGTGCACAATACCACGCGCGACACGTCACGCGCGTAGCGTGTCAACTCCATGAGCAACCGCTAGCTCGTGAAAAGTTCTAACAGCGCCAGCACCATCACATAAGCTTGGCCTTTGTGAGATACAACAACGGTACACTCGACCCTTACTTGCGCAAGTCTCTTTGTAACTCCAATCGCCCCCTCCCCTAACTTTGGTTTCCCACATCTGCTCTCCGCTAGCCGCGCACGCCGCGCTCGCCAATGCAGACGCGTTTCCACTTTCCTCTCCAAATCGCTCTCCACCTCAATGACCTTCCTTCTTTCCACGTTGATTTTCCCGACGATTGCGGCCGCGGACCCTGTTAGGAATCAACAGCTACCCAGTATCCATCATCCAGTACTCGCCATATGACCGGCGACGTACCGAATTTTGACGCATAGCATGATTAAATCATGATAAGAGCGACCCCTGCGTAGAACAACATACTCATGGAGAGGCGCTTGCGTCGTTTTACAAGTCTTGCGTCGCCATCCACCAGTTCGAGGACCCGCACTCAATTCCAGGCCAGATACATCGTACGAATAGAAATGGTCGCAAATACCGATGCTGTCCCTCTAAACGCAGCATGTGTGAACATCTTTGCCCGACTACTGCTTATCCTACTGACTGCAATGACGGGAACAGCACTCAGATTAACAAAATGAAGAGTACTGTATGAAGGACAAGGTCCACAACGCCACACCCTGCTGTTGCACTACCCTAGAGCCTCGAGGCGTTCGTCCTCAGAGACAGAAGAAACATCCCTCCCGAGCGAGCTTCTTTCCTTTGCCAAAAAGAGCGCTCCATCTACAAAGCTGGGCTCAAACCACTTGGCAGTTGGGGTCATTGTAGTTCAACTGCATTTTGTGAAGGAGCTGTTTATCATTATTTTTTCCACAGTGACGACTCGAAATAATATCACTAGATTGAAACAAAGCAAGATATTGAAAAACGCTTGATTGCAGCTAGAAATTTCCGCCGCAGTCTGAACAACGTACAGTAGGCCATGACCGTTGATCTCTGTCCCTCATTTCGTACCCCCTTTCCTTTTGTATCAACGCATTGACAACGGAAGAGCTCCACTGCCATTCAATGACCATGAAATTTTGAAGTGGATATCGATCGCTTATCGATATGGATGAAAAAACGGGTATCCTCGATTGGGCAAGCAGAAGGGGATTGGCTGGAATGTCACGTTTTGACTGATACTTGTCCCGCCAGACTAGAACATCCTACAGTTCTAGCCATACTTGTACCCAACTAACAGGCTCTGCATGGTGGTCGCAATGAGATGCTCCCCCTGCTTGTGGTAGAGACCCAAAGCTCCCGTCTGGCTAGTGTTGATGTCTGCAATGGCTTCGACAACTTCATTGATTGGCCTGAGTCACGTGTACTGTGCATGCTGGTACGACTGAGTCTCATAAACCCCGCAGGGAGAGAATTTCAGTGGCTCTCATCAATGAACCTGAGAACGAGTACCGCGCCTGTCTATAATGGCAGACGCACTCGGTGTCGATCGTCATTGCTGTAGTTGATCTGTTCGCCAAAACAATCATAAACAACAGCTCCGACCTTCGACGGGCCGGAAGGCTAGAAAGTATTTTTGTATGCGCGCCCTCGAATCGACTTGTGAAAGAAAAGATGCCGAAGAAATCATTGGATTCCCAGCCGTGCCGAGGGATTATCTCATTGAAATTAAATACCTATCATATGTAAGTGATAGAACGTAGGAAGAATTGACTGAGCTGTGAGAGAACAATCCGAAAAGCATATCCGGGGCCGTTATCGGAAACGGCGGTATTGATAACTGTCCCATCATCAGTCGTAATAGCGATCGACGCCGCAGAGGAATGAACCGAGATGCTGAAATTAGGCTGCCTTGCCCTCGATTACGGATGTTCTTGACGGGTAGGCTAGAGCTTCCGATTTGACTTGGAGTTAGCGAGATTCAGAGGTCTCTACCAAGACTTGGTTCTGCACAGTATCTCATCGCAAACCGCTTCGCACCACAGATTGGCCTTCTTGGAATCTCATTCCAAGAAGATTCGACATGGCTTCAACATGACCGCGAGTAACTAAATTCGGCCATGACTGGAGTCTCGTGACTCAATCATTTACATCTTGACGTCCAGCTTTAGCTTTGAGTCGGAATGTTTGAGCATGCACACTGCGACGTGAGAAGGGTATACGGCCCCCGACACAGTTTCGTTTCCTTTGGTTGACCTAGAACTGACTTCCATCAGGGAACACAAGATCAACCTGGAGCACATTGAAGGTTTGTGGTAGACTATGTATCAATTAGCAAATAGATCACAGAATCGCGACTGCCATGGCAGTTGCCTCTTTCTATATTTATGATGGTTGTGTTGGCGATTTGCCATTATCCTCCACTGACCTCCGTTCTGGGTGTCCTATAGATTTGACGCACGCATGCCAATAATCGATATTGTAGTCGATACCCAGGGCTGCGTCAGTGCCAACAAACACCGTCTTCCCGCACATTCGATGCAGTCATATCCGATGACAAAATCCTGGAGCAAATGTATGGTTCGAGTCTGGGCTTTTTGTTCTTTCGAGATTAATACCCGGAGGCATGTAACATCCCACATGTTGAAACGACCGAGCTGACCAGAAGTGTCATTCCTTTTTAGTACGCCTTTGCATCCATCACTTACAGATTAGATGATGATGGCGATGACGTCCTATTACTAGAGTTATTACGAGAAGATATGCCATAGCATGTCATTTTTATATCACTTTGTGCGTTTTGGCAACCGATTTGTGACGTGAGACATCTGTTTGAACTAACTATGAGGAGTGTTGTACGTAAGCTATGAAACTCATGCTATCCGTCCATGGCAAAAAGGGTGCCGACTGGGAGGTTTACGGAGTTTGTGATTAGCAAAGACTAGGATTGATACCCGACCTACTTAGTTCTAGGCATATAAAATGTAGACGGGTTTCTGAGACGATGATTTGAAGTGCCAAAACTGGCGTCTAGTTCTTGTCTTCTGACGAGCCAGTCTAACGTAAATGGTGAACCATTTATATGGTATTCTTCTTCTAACGTCTCGTTCAAGGTGATGGGAATATCACCGCTGAGGCTCGGCACAGCAAACCTCACCTCGTAGCACAAGTCTTTCTCGATGTTTTCATACTTCACGGCGAGATTCTGAGTACCTAACCGGAAGAAGGCTTCTCTTTTGCAGAGTTGTCGTAGAAATCCTTCGTATTCGACTGTCTGAGCTCTGAGGCGACAGATAATTCGACCAGAGCATTGATAAGCCCCATGCGCAAAGTACGGTGGATGTTCCTCGTCGAGCTCAAATAAAAAGAGCTCTGCTCGCAAATGATGACATAACCTACGGACATCCAACGATTTTCTGATTGCGTTGCGAGCCGCTCGTTGAACGTAATCGACATCACCAACTTGATCCAGAACAGGCTCCTTTTCCATAAAGCTGACATCGAAACGGAAATTTTGTGTCTTACTCCCAGGTCCTTGATTGCTCAGGAAACGATCCCAGGTAGTTTTGGAACTAGTTTGTTTCCAGAGAGCTCTCCAAAGTCTGGACGGAAACCTAGCCGATAGAAAACTAGATGATTCAACATTGCTGTCAGGGGCGCAGCCCGTTCCCAAAGAAACGACAATACTGGGCTCCGCCATGTCTGGCGAATGTCTAGTCGCCTCATGCACGGCAATACACACCGGATTGTTGACCGCGATGCCGCCATCCTGGAAGGTTCCAAGTCCGCCGAGGCATTTTGCTTCGTAGTAGCTACAGTCATCTCAGCGTTAGTAAACACCGTGGATGGACGGGCTGACTTACTATGGTGCTGCAGTTGCGCACCGCAGGCTGTGCTTAATTAGTGTCGTTCAGAGCAGGTTTATACAGCTCGACTCACATTTGCCACCACTTAACCTCATCTTGTCCATCATGTGAGTCAATGTGACGGTAATCTGCATGGTGTCAGGGTCAAATCTGGCTGTCAGCTTTTGCGCTTACCGGAGTTTGAGTGCCGCATGTCCGTCCCGTTGGAGTTAGTAGCTAGGAATACGCTACCATCATTGGTTTTCGTAAGTGTCACTCCGACATATCCCCCGAGTTCGGCAGCTGAAGATATATCTATGCAACTACGATCGAATCCGTAAGTATCAATAAGCAACTGTTCTATACCATCTGCGTCATATTTACTGTCTGACAGTAGGGATCGGATAAGCTGAAAGAGCCCAACGATGCTCGAGACAAATGGTATGCTGGACAACAACTGCACCGGTTTGGACTGACCGTGGACAAACGATTCCTGGGCGAAGGTTCGCAGATGAGAAAGACAATCATCTACATTCCATCCTAAAATACCAAGACATACAACACTCAACGCGCCTATGAACTTGTCAGCTCAAATATTGTCTGAAGATAGCAGAGTACGCTTACCGGAACTAGTGCCGACTTTAACGTCAAAACTTCGCTGCACGTTGTAGCCTGGGATGTCGATTCCGTCCTGTATCGACTTTAAAAATTCAATTGGAGCTGAGCCACGTATGCCTCCACCGTCGATGCTTAGCACATGAAGCCGACATGTTCTTGGAATAAGATGTATAGAGATTCCTCGTGTGCACTGGCTACAAAGGAGGCAGGACTCTGGTTTATACTCCCAGGGATTCGTGTCAGTTGACTCGTAGAAAGTTTCAACACAATTCTGGCAGATTAAATGTCCACATGAAAGTTTGAACCGGGGTCGTCTGCGAATGCAACAGAAGCATGTATGGTATGAATGCATCCGACCAAAAATATCCCTGTGTTGCACAAGCTGCCGTCGGTGCCATTCGGCAGTCGATCCGATTGCTTGAAACTGTGCAAACTGTGTAAACATACTGGATGATATCAATCTCACGATTTCCAAAGGCAATATCAGACCCCCAAAGTTTTGCTTGAACTGGGAGACTGCTTCAAGGCATGCAGACTCATACAATTCGCGAAAGACATGGTGACAATCAAAGACTACAGCCAGGTTAGCCGATGATACAAAGCATACACTTAACATCTTACGGTGCATATCGGGTGTATAATGGTCGAGAAGTAGACTCGACGCAATGAGGGGAATAGCTGCCCGGCGCAAGGCACCAAGAGACCGGAACTGTTCCAAGAAGTTAAGGATATGATCACTCAACTCTGGAGCCACGCTCTGGTTCAGTCTTGAGATCTTTATAAAACTAAATTTCTCATGAGGCTCACATAGCGCTCTGTTAGTTGCATACTGGAGGAAATATGTGAGATGGTAAACAGTGAATAAGGAGTTGGATCGCCGACGATATTGTCTCCTGGACTCCAATGCTTTTGTGATGGCAAAGGCAAGCACTTGCCAGCGTCGTGTGTGGGCAATCGTCCTCCTTTTTTTCTTTCCGAAATTTCGGGGGACTCCGACAATTGTAAGATCACTAAAGCAGATATCCGCTTCTCTACGTCGTCGTCCTTTCAAGAACCTTTCAAGTTCATGGCATCGTTGATTTTTCTCTTCCTTTTTTACTACCAATATGATTTGCGGTCGCACGGGGCTTGCTGATGGAGGTCCCATCCTTAACCATGTATCTATATGTTGCAACAATGGTTGGAATCCCCCAAAATCATCTAAAAACACACATATTACATCGGCGCACGGGAACAAAGTCCTGTGCAGCATAATGTCGAAATTCTGAAGATCACCAGAAACGCATTGACTTGGAGTAGCATAAGAGGTGACTTCATGACAGCCATGTCCTCTGAAAGAAGACTCACTAGGTGGAGGTTGCGGTACACCCGCGTCAGCCACAATAATGTTTTTACGGCGGGTCTCTTTGAACGAAGACACGAGTAAATGGATTTCGCTACCACCTCTCTCACGTATTCGTCCGTCCTGGAACATCTCCTTTTGAAAGGCTAACCTTTTTGACTCATTGCCTATCAAGACCAGGAGGCCGGCGGTTTCTGCATGGGGATTGTCAAACTCTTTCAAGAGGCGCTGAGGTCGATCAGTAACATCCAACCCCGCTTCATTGTCCCTTCTCCAAGGTTTTAGCCAGCACGTGTGGCGGCAGTGATTCATTTTGTCCCTGTGACTTCAAGATTCCGAGGGGGTCGTCTGAACTACGGTTTAAATACTTCGCAGTGACTTGTGGTCACTAGTTAAAAGCTTGTAATGGCCGTTGCCGTGACTGCTTCTCGTTGTTACAGGCCCAAAACGGCCAATCCGAAGGTCCCTAGCTATAAGCATTTCCCCGGCTGATCCTTTTATGGTCCAAAGCTTTTCTAGCGTCGAGTTACCTGTATCCCAAAGACTAAACATGGCAGGAACATATGAGTGTTACGCTTGTATCGGAGTGTGGTTGACGGGTTAAGAAAAATAGAATGGATATGTTAGGACGGGTTCTATAGTGCCAACTGATTAGTATCTGACTACTGTGTTCCAGTATGATAGGCAACTTTGAATGTTGCCATTCAAGTCATACCTCACACATTCGGCAAACACTGTCCTTCACATCAAGAGGAATTTAGTACAGTATCGACCGGAACTGGATACCTTAGTATATCTTTAATGAACTTGATGTATTATTCCATCTATAAGACGGAATCAAAAACGGGCCGTAACCAGATTTAAGAATGAAATATGTCCGGCGATGCCTGGGCTGCTACCGTGTGTGTCAAGCGAGTATTACTTCTTGTCATAACTCAATTCATATATTGAGAAAAGGCCTGTGTTGATTTGGCAGACATGATAGGAACAAACGAACTGATCGTTAAAACCTTCAAGAAATCCCAACGCGATAAAGCACCTGGTGGTGCACAAGCATATCAAGGCGTTGGTGTTTTCAGCTTCCTAGCCGCATTAAGTAGCGGATTCATAATTTTTGTTTTACAGCTTGTCCTTTTTTTGATATTTAGAAACAAGCTTGGCCGTGTTTTGTAAGTTATCTCACGCTGTTACGAATAAGTCTATCATCCTAAGAAAGTTGATAGTAAGCCAAGAAGTAATTTCAATTATCAACATGGACGAACAGAGTCGAAAGGGTCTGGCCTAATCTCCACGATTAGTCAGGTCAGCAGTACTAGCGATGAGGAGCTTATACGTAAATGTGGGCTTGATGCCTATTTCTTTGTTCGATATTTGAAGACACTGCTTCTTGTTTTTTCATTGATCGCGACCCTTGCCATACCAATCCTTGTCCCATTAAACTACATTGGGGGGCGTGGCAGTCAACTCTACCATGATATGGAAGGACGATCGAATCAAGACATGGCCCAAATCACAGGTCTGGATACTCTGGCGTGGGCAAACGTGAGACCAAAAGATTCTTATCGCTACTGGGTACATTTAGTGATGGCAGTAATTGTTGTCGTGTGGACTTGCGCAGTGTTCTTTAAGGAGATGACAGCATACATCAAAGTGCGACAGACTTATCTAACTTCCCCAGAACATCTGTCAAGGCCTTCTTCAACCACCATCCTAGTCAATTCAATCCCCACGGAGTTGTGCACCGAGGTCAAGCTTAAAGAAATATTTTCAGTGTTTCCCGGGGAAGTGAAGAATGTATGGATCAATCGGGATCTGCGCTCTCTCCTACAAAGGATCACCACTCGGTACGCTATTCAACGACGCCTGGAAGCTGCCGAGACGGATCTCATTAAATCCATTCAACGAGTTGACCGAAGGCGGCGTGAATCAATTGAGCAAAGATCTGGACAGCATGGCTTCAGAAGCACCAGCAAGGGAATTGAAGTAAAAGGTTCTGATTCAAAACCTACTACAGCGCCTTCCGTCAGGGAGGAGGAAAACGAGAAGAATAGTAAAACTGAGGCCTGGATGAAATATCTAGATGAAAAAGACCGCCCTACCCACCGACTGCCACTGTTTGGTTGGAACTGGTTGCCCAGCTTCGTCTCATTCGGTAAAAAGCAGGATACTATATACTGGTGTCGGGAAGAGCTAAAAAGATTGAACTCCCAGATAGGAATTGCTCGAAAATGTTGCGATGAAGGGCCCGTTGGAAATTCGGCGTTTATTCGATTTGACTCCCAGGTAGCGGCTCATATGGCATGTCAAAGCGAAATTCACCACCTGCCAGAACACATGACTCCCAGGACCATCGGATTTTCTCCTGAAGAGATCATCTGGACAAATATCGCCCTGTCACATAAAGAAGAATGGGTGCGTACTGTCTTGGTATATGGCGTTATCTTCGTCATGATATCTTTGTGGTCGATCCCAGTAGCTTGGACAGGAGCGCTCAGCCAAATTGAGGATCTTATTCAACACTATCATTGGTTCGCCTTCATAGAAAACACCGAAGTACTGCGCCACACTCTTTCAACAATTGCCGGCCTTCTGCCAACTGTCGTTCTTACCATACTTCTTTGCATCCTACCAGCTCTGTTAGAGCTTTTAGCAGAGTTTAAAGGGGTCAAGACACTATCCCTAAGAGATGAGTTTGTCCAGAAGTTTTACTTCGTGTTTTTGTTTATACAGGTATTTCTTGTTGTGTCTATTGCCTCGTTTTTTACAACCTCTATTAAAGAGCTTGCCACAAATGTGGGAGACATACAGAGGGTAAGTGATCTATTGGATATTCTAGCTCAAAACCTTCCACGAGCAGCGAATTACTTCTTTTCGTACATGGTTCTCCAATCGCTGTCGACTAGTTCCGCGACACTGCTCCAGATGGGCAGCTTATTCGAGCGCTACATTATTGCTCCAATAGTGGATAAAACTCCACGAGACATGTGGGCACGACGCACAAAGCGGCACTCAATCAGATGGGGTTCGGTCTTCCCGGTGTATACTAATTTTGCTTGTATTGCCTTCGTCTATTGCGTGATATCTCCACTCATTTCGGCGTTTGCAATTCTCTTATTCGGGCTATCGTGGCTCACTCAGCGATATACAATACTTTTCGTTTACGAACCCGGATATGATACCGGGGGTGTTCTCTATCCTCGGGCGATCAATCAGACTTTTACTGGTTTATATGTAATGGAATTATGCCTATCCGGTCTGTTCTTTATAGCTAAAGACGAGAGAGGAAGGGCCAGTTGCACAATGCATGGAATCATCATGATGTTTGTCCTGATCGGTACAGTTCTTTTCCAAATCTTCATCAACTGGAGATTTGGTCCACTTCTTCGTTATCTGCCAACAGGGCTAGGCAATCACAATGCGGAGGTACGAGACCAAGCCGAAGCAATGGAAGAAGATACCTTTTCCATGTCTCACAATGCACATGAGACTTACAACATCAATGATTCGACCTATGGCCACTCATCTGCTCAGGGAGAGCGACCCATAACAGAAGACGCCGAACTACCTACTACACTACTAGAAGTGACGGCGTCACAGAAGGAGAAGCTCATAGCTGCTGCATTTGATCACATCGTCCTCAGTCATCGGCAACTAAGAGTCTGGATTCCACAAGATAAACTTAACATTAGTGTGGACGAGGTTCGGCAAACTAAACAGTTTGGAGATGAGATATCTATATCCAGTGAAGGTGCTAGCCTAGATGATCAAGACCGTGTGGTGTACAAGAGATATCCGCCAGACTTTTTCTACCTAGCTCGGGTTAAGTTGTAAGTAACAACTAGATCCCCAGGAGGCTTGCTGGATCCTGTGCGTCACAACGGTGGCTCGAATACTAGTTCATGAAGGCTGGTGGATAGAGGTCTGGCTGCCGTATTCCAATCTGAAAGGTCATCATCTTCTGACCGTACAGTAAATATAGGAGAAGAAGAAGAAGCAGGGGAGGAACGGGTAAGTAGATTGTGAATGCTTATGGAGAGGATTGACTTGTGGTTACGCAAAAGCCTTCACAGTATTGTCTTCCTTGGATTTGCAAATACGTCATGGAAACCTGACTCAGCTTGGCGAAGGGAGATGGGGATCGAATTGGAGATCAGTCAATACGTAACTGACTAGTGTCCGATTGGCCAATATGAAACTTGGGAAATAACAAATGAACAGCCAACGTTTTGTTGTTCAGTCGAGCGTTACATAATCATCATCCTATGACAAATTTCCATGCTGAAATTAATGACGGACAAGCTTCTTGCGCAGCCTGGGATACCAAGCTTAGAAGGAGGGCATGATGCTAAATGCCAAGTTCCAGTCCAAATGCAGCTTAACTCTCACCAGCAGGCCCAACCCGATTATCAACCATTCCAGTACCAGCAACAGCAGCATGCCAATTGCTAAACTCTTTCCGGTAGGCTTACGGTCCTCACCAGCTCCGAGCCCAGCCCCAGTATTAACCGACGCCATAGGACTAGGGGTCAAGGCTGAACAAAAATAAAGAGTGCACTTACATGACTGTATGGAAACGAAAAGGGGAAAAGCAAGACAAATCAAGGCGCAGTAGGAAGTGTTGAAGATGAGCGGTACTGATAGACAATGACAGGCAGAAGTATCGAACGCTATACCGGAGACATAGGGAATTTCGCTAGAGCGAATCCGGGTCGAGAGCGAGATGTTGCACGCAATCCTGGAGGTAATTTTTGTCCATGGATTAGCCGCAGCGTCGGCTTATCGTAACGATGTTGATGAGGCGGAGGATGAAGATGATGAAAACGCAATCAAACCAATCTCGAAGCTTTAGGTTGAATGGGTCAATCTCGTGCAAAAGGCTATTAAACATAGGCTGAGGATTAGCAGCCCGACCAAATGACATGGTAAGGCAGTGACATTAGACTATGGGTCAGAAGAGAGCAAAGTATGTTGTTGTGGCAGGGCGCTAGTATTGGACGGCCGCTTCCCGTCATCCGAATCTACCTCGTGCGCGCAATGTAACCGGTACGAGACGCATACCGCTCAAGTAGACAAGCCAGTGGAGTTAAGCCGTAGCAAGGTTGGGATAACAACCCTACTTAGAAGGGGTTCAGGTTTTCTATAAAGCAGAAGAGATTAGACAGAAGGAGCGAGGGAGGCTAAAAGTCTTCAACAAGAGGTGCTAAGAGAGAAGCATCAAGATATCATTACGAGCATAGCGGACCTCAAGGCAGCGAACCAACAATAGAGTTCATACCACAAAGTCAAGACACTTCATTACTATAAACAGCTTAAAACCCTTGTTGATATAACGTCGGGGAAAGCAATCGTAATGCAGTATAGAGTACAGAGTTCTTATTTCAAAAGGGAGGCCCTTCCATAGCTACTGCCACTCACGAGGTCAGTCCATGACCCAACAATAACAAAAACGATTGGAACAGACGCTGAATCTACGATATGATGTAACTCGCTACGGAAGCACTCACGTATGATGAGAACCTTCACGAGTCAAGATCTATACGATCGCGAGAGAGACTTCAAGGGCTCTGCACTACCACCTGGTCTTGTTCGCGAAGATTCATTCAATTTGCAGCGATAGATAGGTATTAACGAGCATTTTCTGTTATTATTCTTAGAAACTCACATGTGTATTACGATTGGTAGATACGTTTCGCGATAAGAGTATACATTATTAAAATTTAGGATAATTATCTGAAGCGAATAGCCTCTAGACCCAGGAGCTATCTATTAACGTAATGGTACTCACATAATCGTTGGGTAGCCGGGAGGGGTGCCAACAAGTATTGTTACAATATCACTGACCAATGACAGGGGATAATTAGCAATAGTCACATAGAGTACAAACGCTATATTGAAGCCTTTTTGGGTAATTTAAAGAAGGCTGCAAGGACAAATAACTAACGCTGAAGTCGCACAAATCTGGGCCTCTTTTCGATTTTCTTTGTTTCTTTTCTTTATCCATTTTCTTTAAGGATGCTGCAATGACGACCCCAAAACTGCACCCTGCTACATTGACGATTGCATTCGTCCTTTTCATGGTTCGCTGCCCATACGTCTTCAAAGTAATGTTAAAAATCGCCCTGAGGAGCGTGCAAGCCTTTTGAATGTTACATTAGGCTGTCTTGTATTGATTTCGGGACCTCATGTATTACAGTTTGTACAGTAATTATGTTGGTGTTTTGCTAATTGTAGAACATTTTGATGGAGACTTTGTATTCCTTGGTAACTTTTGGTATGTAGTTCGTTTCGGTCAAATCAGCGTTTATAACATGCTCTCTTGACCCTATGGTGTGGTATGTTAAAGACGTTCCTCTTTTGCCTTACACCCACCTTACTGAAGTCGATCAAGGTTCACGGCACAAAAAGTGCCGAAACAGAAGTGCGTGTGATACCTAAGCTGTTTGAGAAAAATGGTACGGTTGAAATCAAACAAAGGCCGGAAAGTTTAAACGTCGTGACCGGTAAACTCAACGGATTGCATGGTTAGAGGTACACGCCCTATATTGGCTCGAACTTACTATAAGTCCTTCGGAGTTACATGGCCATGCTGCGCTCCTGTTTCTGAAATCCTCATTCTTGTTGGTATCGGCAGTCACGTTGATCGATGTCTACAATGGAAAGCCACGATACTGAACGCATTCCCGCAATACCCGCCGAGAGCAGTCTATGTTCCGTAGTCTTTAGATTGTACAACCTGTGGCGCTGGTTATCTGTAAACATACATTCACTGGCAGCAATTCCCACAATCCCGTGCCACAGGGCAATAGATCGAGCAGGTGTAATGAGTTTAATTAGCAACACACTAAGACAACTTTGTGATTTAGACTTAGGTTCGCAACTGACAGAAATAATATCCTTATCGAAATACAGAGCACTGTCGGGATACTTTCCTCCTCATCAAGCTGGATTAGAATGCACAAAAAAGAACCTGGCAAGGGCTTTTCTGACGTGGTGGATCTGGCGTCACAGTAATGGTTCGACTCTTGCACTTTTTATCCTGTGAGTTCGTGCCAAATTGAAAGCTATTGTCTCTAACCTGTCTCAGATTCTTTCCCGTTCTGTACTTCTTAAAGTGCGGTAACAAAGCTCTGACCCTGGAGTGGAAACATGCTGGTATCTCCATCATTGGAGCAATTGTCATGGAATTGACTTTTGGGAACACTTACAATTTGTTGAGATTTCTCGTCTGGGTTTTATGCTGCGGTGCGCTCACCAGGATGTGTGCAACAAATACAACTTCTCATGGTAAAAATGGGGCACCGAAATTGTGAAACAGCGTGTGTGGGATCTGCCATTACGCCTTATTTGATGGCTCACCTACATCCAGGACCTTATGTACGTCTATATCATTCATAGATACTGTATAACAAGTTATCACTTTGTCTGAACAATTGTTGACTGACAAATATATTGGTACCATGCGCACTGAGACCAGTCAGGAATCGCCTCCTTCAGCACATGGTCTGCATCGAATATGTGAGACTGCTCTCGCTGTTCCCTCCCCTCGTGATACAGAACATCTCCAGGTCTGAATGACTAAGTCTTCTACAGTAATTCAAAACCACTCCACACTCCCCTAAACCCCACTCACTTGCGATAGCCTCACATCGCCGCGCGTAGTTAAATTTAACTACTTATATGGTTAAGTTATTGGACCTTGTACGCTTTGAGACTCGCGTTATACATGTTCCGATAGATATCTCTCGAACCTGATGGAACATGACTTGTTGATTCATTATCGTAATCTTCCATTGGCTTTCCTTCTTCAGAAGGCCAACTTTACTAGGCCTATCTGAAAGGTATCTAATCAGGTGACCTTACTGACGGAGTGGTGCGTTTTCCCTAGACTAATTGCGAATAATTATATGATTCCTCTCGTCCGACAGTATACATTTCAAGTGGGGTGTATTTATAGTTAACAACCAAGTCTGAAACGTCAAAGTACTCCCTCAAAGATCTCTTCATCACCAATCGTTTTCTCGCGAAATATATAGCTCACAATAGTTTTACGGCGATATTACTGCTGTATTTCTCCACGGGATAGGTTAAGCCATGCTAGATTTATGTTGGCAGATAACGTAGGGCAAAGGTACTGAGCATTGCGAAGTGTCACATCTCTTAATACTGAATCGAGCGGGTTAGAGGTACTCAGGTAACGACATCTTACTGGTAAGCCGATGTATATATATCTGAAGTTGTTGTGAGGGAGCGACGATGGGTCTGGCGATCGTCGGTCCTGGTACGCAGTTGGTCCCTGTCAGTTTCAGTCCTTTGGTGATTGCTTAAGAGCACCATAGATATGGATTAGGAAAGACAGACAGTGTGGTCCACATAACGTAGCTGCTGAGGTTGTAACAGATATCGCTGGGGTCTACCAAGCTAGTTCTTTCGGAGATAATATATCAGAATCTTCACCAACTGACGCTAAAGACTCTGCAAAATCAAGTATTCACGCTTTCATAGGGGTAGAAACCCGTCTTTGTATTCACAATATAGCTTATTCAGTCTTTCTCTTCTTGGACACTTAAGCATAACTCTCTTTAACACGCTGTTTAGATGCTGCAGCTGCTGTTAAGGACCCTTTAATGACACGATCTTAAACTCATCCTTCCAGCATTAAAACTCATAAATCTGCAGTTTCGATGCCTTCTACAACTAATAAACATTCTATAGCCAGATATAATCTAACGTCACTGATTCCATCTCTAGCGTCACAGGTTTGTATATAAGAGAAAAAGAAAAAAAAAAGAAAAAAAGAAAAGCACCCATTTCGTTTTTAATTTTCTAGATGATAGTCATAGAACACATTGTTAAGACCCCCTACCTTTCACCAATCAATCCTCACTTCAACGCCCTGTAGCTTCACCAAGCCTTTCGAGACCTCCGCCAGTGTGTTTTTCAAGATTAACCCGATAAAGAATATAGGATGGAGTACCTATGTTCAATGGAGAGGCCATTGCAGATTTAGCCTAGTCGTTGACGGAAGAAAATGAGGAAGAGAAACCACGATATAGATCTTTATGGGATTTCTTACTCTGGGTACCCGACGCTTTCATAACGGGAGACCCTTCGCGCAGGGGACGCCCGCCGCCGCTTGTCTGTTTTAACCTCGAGTTTATCCATATCCAACCTGGTGTAGAATAATCTAACTATAGTACTATGATGATCGCTGAGTATTTTGTGCAGCCAAGACCATGGTCTGTATGTATAAAAATCAGGGAACAAGCTTCGCGGTGAGAAATAGATATTGGGATGGAGCGCTAGCTTCATCTTACGTAGGGCTGGGCGACCAGAAATCGATCAGTAGGACAGGCCATCAACGTGATTTATATCTGAAGGCCTAGGCATCGAAGCACTTTTATTCGTACTACGATTAGACAACAAGGCTCATAACCTACTTGGATTTGCACAGTGTGCCAGTTGCAGCTCATACAGTCTTAACTATCTGCAGTAAAACTACAGTGATGGTGTACTGACGCTGGACTTTCACCACAATGCAACCTGTGCATGCATCTAACTTGGAACGTTCTGTGCCTTTTTCCTTCCTATCGCCATCCATCAACTTTTTTTTTTCTTTTATTTCACATGACAGTCATGAAAGAAACTGTTTTATTACTCTTAATAACGGCGAGTTTCTGCCCCACAAACAAGTCTGTCGACTCCATCAAATAGAAACCAGGAAGCGACCCGTGAACTCACATCAATTGTCGTCAACTGCTTGACGCCTATATAGGCTGTGGCTGACGCTATCTTGCAACAAGGTGCCATATAAGCATTATAGCGCTAGGATCTCAGCCTATATAAACAGACATGTCCGGAAGGAAGTCAGTCATGAAACTCACGAGTACGTTACAGAGCCAAAGCTAGGTCAAGCCATAAACGATATCACCGTAGTCTTGGTTCGAAATTAAAGGTAGCTCTGGCGTAACGTCGCGATTTAATTGCTACTATATATATCATGACCACGTCCAGCCCCTTCGGAAGTGTGCAGGAGGGCGCTTATATACAAACACCCTGGTCAACGCGCGTAATGATAAAGAGCATACTCGTAACTTTCCAGGCTGGACCCCGATTCTTTTATGGTGTCCATGCTGAGACATTGGATGCAATCCCTCCAGATTGGACAAACCCAGTGTGCCTGCTATGGGTTTTTGATGATGGGTCACGGCCGCTCATGTGGCAGCACGTCGCGCAACCATCACCGTTCAATTTCGAGGACCCTGGAGAAAACTTTGACAAGATAATAGGTCACTATGAGTCTAGTGTTGGAGAATGCTACGTCGCTGTCAAATGGAAAGGTTGCCTAGCACCAACTTGGGAGAGAGAAACGGACATGGCATGTTGTGCCCATGCTGTTGCGCAATATTTCGACAAGATAGCTGAATATCCTTTCTAGGCAAGGATATTCAGCTATCTGGGCTTCTCGGACCCTCTTGTTTGGAAATTTGGGCTCGGATTCGGGAGAGACATGATGAGTTTTGTTGAAATTTACGTTGTCAAAGTGGGTATCCTTAGTAATCTAAGACTCAAGTGAGGAACATTGTATGTTAGCAAAAAGTGAAGCCGCGAGTATATTTACACCAGCTGTTTCCGATCTCACATGTTTGATCGGCAAATATTTCAGAAACCTACCCGCCAGTATAAGAATGGGATAGCCATTTAAGAATCAAAACTGGCTTACTTTTAATTAGTTCCATATAACGCGAGGTCTAGTCTCAGGCAACTCGTGCGCGCAGAGGGGAATCTGGGTCGTTCATGCCAAGGGCTGCGTGAAGGAACTCACGTAAAAATCCAGAGCTAACCAGACACGCTTCCTGATCCAAAGACGAAAGCAATCACCCCCTGTCCCAGTTACAGTGGTCTGCTTTTGAACCATATGTAATCCCTCAGATATCTCACAGAGTTCTTATTTGAGTCTCACATGATAGAAAACTACAGCGTAGTATTGTACATATCGTGGCCTAAATCAGAGACCGCTAACCCCAGTTCCTCTCCTCCTTCTTGCATTGAACGAGTTAGTATCTAAACTGTTAGACCACTCCCATACTCCGGCCCTGGCTTCGGTAAATTTCGTGATAAGGCAGTGGAAAATTCTTCTTCTTAAGCCGACAAGAACACCACTGCGCCCTGTCATGTACGTCAAAGGATTTATCCCACTTCAGACATGCAATGATTCCTATCAAGTTTCACTCAAACCTGCAGTACAGCTATCGAACAGTTTGCCATCCAATTTGGGGGCCTTGAATGTGTTCAAAGCTTCTGTCTTCGTTTGCGTTGGTTCGATATAGATGAGGGTCCAGGCCGTCTTGTTGGGTCGCATGTTGTCTTCAAAGCATAAAGACTTTGAAATAGAAAAGACATGTTGTGCATATGAGCGAGGAAAGTCAGACTAAAGGCAAATTATAATTTGGCCGTTCGAATATATGCGATCTACAGAAACTGAGTAAAATCAGTCCAAAACTTGCCTTTATAAAAGGTTGATTTGCTGACCCCCACAACACACTTGTCCCGGCTAGTATATCAAATCTGGTCATGGAGTCCAAATGCGTTTTCGCCCAAAAATGGCATCTACATCAAAACAGACATATGAAGAGACAATGAAAAAGTCGCACTATATGTATATGCCCAGAGATTCTCTGAGTATCGCATCCTAAGATGATCGGCTGGTACTCTATTGTCGGTGTTAAACATGACTCCCGTGAAACACATTAGATTGGGTCCCAAGCAAATACTGCGACAGCGTTTCGATGACGAATTCCATGCCCTTTACCAGGACACCTCGCGGTGGAGGAAAATCAAAAGCATTGTCAAAAAGCCCATGGCACCGCCGCAGCCCTTTGATGGTATACATGACTGTGAATCGACCCGGTCTGTCGGTGATGGCGAGATCACCACACTCGCCTCACCGAGTCCCCCAGTAAGCGTCAATATGGCTGATGAGACCGTTAATACAGGCAGCGTGGCCGATGATACGGATGGGCGTCTAACCATAGCTTTCACTCATAATCAACCTTGCAGAGAGGATGGAGAAGATGAAGATTTCTGCTGTAACTGGTATCCATCGAGTGACGATGAGAAGGTTGAGAACCTGCCCTAGGAAGGTCATGTAACTATAGAATATTAGTTCGGCATCGTATTGTGATGTGCGTCATCAATCAGACTGGTAAGATCAAAAAGGGGGTAAAAGAAACTTAAGAACAGTGGTAGTTGGATTGGATAAACACCAGCTCTTCGTGCTTGCTGTGCTTACCAGGATCAAAAGCCTGGAACACCCCAAGGGTGTTTAGGCATAGTCATTCAAAATAAAGGATTGTCAACTCGCAGAATCGCTGACAATATCCGAAAGCGCTCCCAGTGGGATGCGGGGTTCAGCGTCAGCATTCTATTATTGTAAGTTTATTGAGTATGGCTAAAACTGCACTAGTTCTCTCACATGCATACATAGTATAATATCAGATAGTTTCTGACGTATCGCAGCACTCACAGTGCACGACTTATGCCTAAGATTTCAGGCAGTATATCGACAAACCGTGCTAGCAGCCACTTTCTGATTCGCAAGAAATCACTCAAACTACATTCACATCGAGTGCTGTAGATTGGGCGAATGGTCAACAGTACGTATTAACTTATTCCTGGCAACTGTTTTAAATGCATGGCAAGTGATCTACGAAGGTGTAGGGGTAGGCAAAAGAGTAGATATAGAGTCGGCACGGTCATCTCTCTTGAGAAAGTAGTAGAAGAGGCAAGAAGTGCGATATGAGCCTCCAAAATCGGGGCATCCTGTGTTGATTTTCATCATGCCATCGATACATTCCCATACTTGCTTTAATTTAAAATGACGCTTGTCGCAGTCATTCAACAAAGTGACCCCGATCAAGGTGTCCGCATATGGCTCTGTCTTTATAGGTTGCTGAAGGGTGAGACTGGTGTTCTTGAGTTTATAGCAGAACGTCGTAGCGAATTGGACTCTCTTTTCGTAACTCAGTTCAAACTGTTCTGCGGCGCGCTGTTTCTCCTGACAATGTGTGGGATCCTTTGTTTCCGTTGGTTCTGGTGCTGCCGTCATGCTAATTTCAGTTGAGGTGGACGTTTGTGTCTCTTTGGCGTCAATACTAGCCTCTTTGGACCTTGCCACTATGGGGTTTAGGCTGGATGTTGATTGGTGGCCTCGGGCACGTATGTCTATTGAGTTTCGCCGCAGCCAAGATTGAGTTTCTGCGTCCTTCTGGTCGCTATCTAACACAAGAGTTTTGGGACAACTAGCAGACCAAGACGCCGGCGGGACTACGGACATGCTTTCGTCGTATGGAAGTTTGTATATCCTGCCCGTTTGCGGCTTACTATCGGCGGTGTACCAGGGATTGAGTGCCTTGAATTTCTCAAAGTCAAGTTCGGGCAAGACTCGCCCGATCGTTTCATTCGGTGGGGTTCTATCCTGCGACACCCATATCGCGTAGTCAGGACACGTCGCGCCGACGAGGGTAAGCAATAAGAGCCAAACAATTGCTTTCATGTTCCAGAAGAGCCGAATGCTGAGAGACGTAGCAGCACGATGCAGAAACAGATGGGTTGGAGGGTTTTGTACTTGGACGACACTTCTATCTGTAATTGTGAATCTGACAACCAAAAAGGACGAAAGATTGTCTGTAAACACAACCGTCAATTTTGTCCTTCGATTGAATGCCGCAAGATCCGTTTACAATGATGGACAAAAAAAGATGGAGAGATATGGTTTCGAGCACTGACGACTTCTTCGCCAGAACGAGATTTTTGTTTGATCTAGGGTAGGTACTTCAAAGTACATCAGGACACACCGTAAGTAAATAAATCGACCACGATACACGTATCAATCCCAAGTAAGCCTGTTTGAGTTGATAATAGAAGTACTCTGAAGTCGCTCGAGTATTAAAAGCCAGATGCAAATTTGGGGCAAGTGGAGCCTGAATCGACGGTAACAGCCATGTCAACACGTGAGCTTTTGTTTCCCACCCAAATCATATATCCCTGCATGGCGATCAACGGTTACCGCGATTCCGTGCTTAGCAGGTGTTCGATATCACTTGGCAAGACTCAATTAAGTGGTTTAAGAACACAATCTTGCATTCTGCTTGAAGTTTGCAAACGGCTCCATTGAAAAGGACCTCACTGGTAAATCCTGCGGGATCACAAATTGTGATTGCGTTGCACTACTCACGTAACCAATAGCTACGGAAGCTCATGGAGCGTTGTGGAAAACCTGGAGAGGTTGTAGAAAAATGCCCTTTGTGGATTCGAGCCAACATGCGATGCTACGGCTCGACCAAGGCCCCTCCGAACGGTGTCGGCCGACGTCGATTATTGAGTCCCCCCATGCTGACTGCCCTACTCGATCGCCTCGCTGTGAAGCCTAATATGTATCGTGACGAGATGGTCGAGTTCCTCGAGAAAGAATTTCAGGCTGCTATTCCTGCCGCCAACATCGGTCGGGCTTTGAGGTCAGCACGATGGACGAGAAAGACGGCACGACGTGTCGCAGAAGGACGCAACGCCGACCTTCGCGACTACTACCTCTACAAGCTATCGTTCTATCGGTCGTACCAGCTCGTGTATATTGACGAGTCTGGGTGCGATAGACGTGTAGGAAGAAGACGGTTTGGGTGGGCTCCTAAGGGCGTTACGCCAGTTCAGATCGACCGTTTCCACCGTGACCAGAGGTATCAGATCCTACCAGCTTACACGCAAGGAATCCTGCATTATGAACCTTTCCTGGGAGCACAGATGGTGCAAAGTTTGAAGAGTTCATCAAACAGCTGTTACATCACTGTGGTAAGTGGCCTGAGCCAAACTCGGTCCTCGTGATGGACAATGCATCCTTCCATCGATCGCCTGTCATCGAGCAGATGTGTGAGGAGGCCGGCGTCAAGCTCCTGTACTTGTCGCCTTACTCGCCCGACTTTAACCCAATAGAAGAGTTCTTTGCTGAGCTCAAGGCCTTTATCAGCCGTCACTGGCATGAGAATCAGCACTTCATCCAAATAGACTTTGCGTCATACCTAGAATGGTGCGTGAACAGGGTTGGATCACGGCATGAGAGTGCTGAAGGTCACTTTCGCCATGCTGGTGTAGAGATAGAGGAGGCGCCAGAGAGGGCCGTTTCAAACAGACAGAATGGAATAGACCAAATGTTGACTGTGATCTACTCTGAGTCTTCCAATGTCTCCATCTCGCGGAACCAGACCTCAACGTCGCTCACCCAGCGCTTAGCGATGCCCTTCTTGACTCCTTTATCAACGAAGAACTGGGTATCCTGATCAAGACGAATCTGCTCGAGGTCTAGTCCCTCATCCAAGGTCAAGTCGCACGCCTTCTTGTACTCCATCTTCCATAAGGTATTGGCATTCTTAGAGCAGTGCCAGATGCAGTACTTGTTCACATTCACGTCGCGCATTCCTGGTATGCCGAGATATTTGAGGGCATATGGGCTCCTCTCGACTGATCCGGACGGTGTTCTGATATCATAGTCATCCGATGAGTGGCCAGCACGAGTAGGCATGACATTGGTCATAGTAACAGGCCGAGCATCAGTGGATGATGACCTCCGCTTCCTCTTACGCTGGATACTTTGCTCTTCTTCAGCATATAGTAGATCGCGAACGTCATGCGGTACATCATCGTGTGACTCTACTGTATTTCCCAAGCGCACATGCTCGATAAGGGCTCTTAGGTGGTGAGTCTTCAACCTGTAATGTTTCTTACCGACCGAGTCGACCCAACAATGTGGCCCGAGCCCACAAGGCGACCCCGTGCACCGGAAGAAGTCGTAGACTTTCCTCCACACTGCAGGCTCAGTCGATGCCGTCTCCTCTTCGCCAATATCTAACGCCCTCTCAGCAAGCTGGGAAGCAGTGGCGCTCCTGCCACCTCTGCCACGTGCGACAACACTACCCGACTGGCTAGTCTCGATAGAGTTAAAGGAAAGGCTGATTTTGAGCCTCTTGTCATCGAGGAGAAAGTGACTCCAGGCTTGCAGCTTACTCTCTATCATCTTCCAATTAATGTCAAGACCATCCGACCTCGTGTTCAGGTCTGCTTCGCCTTTGTAGTTAACACAAACTGCAATGTCTGTATCGTCGACGTGGAAGGTTCTGTTTGAGGGCAACTTCTTTTTTGCAAGTTTATCTACCTTCGACCAGAGATGCTTAGTCCAGTACGCGCCAGGCGCCAGGACAACGTCGGGCTCGGTGTCTTTACTAATGCACCTACTGTTCAGCTTCAACTTCCATTCGATCAAGTAGTGCACACAGGTCGGAGGCTGTTCGTCGTAGGTGAGCGTCTCGTCCCATTCGGATAGTTGCAACAAGGGTAATCGGGAACAACCTTTCTGGATCTGGCCGAGCGGGGTTGCATCGCGGATCGCTGCTGACTGTGACGTCAGATCAAGACTGGCGCCCAGCTGAAAAGATCGCTATCACCGTCGTTCATCGTGCTATACTGCCCAACCTTAATGCAACAGCCTGCCATTTACAAAAAGAGAAGGAGCGGGAGAATAAGGAAGGAAAATGCCGCCGGAGGGTGCGAGTGAATGACCTTTTCCTTTGAGGAGGAGCAGTCAAAGAGAACCGCCCTTTTGGGTGACCCCACAAAAAGTCATTTGTGACACAGAAGTGTCCCCACTATTTTCAGTTTAGTAGCATGGTTTGTGGGTTCTTCGACGAATGACTCCACCTAGATCGGATCGCATCCATCACATCGTATTGAAAAGAACTGGAGAATCTAACTTGACCGGCTTCACTTGCCAATTGATCCGTATCCATCACCCTTGGAATAAGTCGTTTATGGCCTATGATCATCATCAAACGACATCAAGAGCGGGCCACACGATAGTTTGATTGTTCACTTGACAAGGACGTAGAACGGTTTGCTAAAATGCGTCAGAAACTTTTGTTTGGCTGGACTCTGCATAGGGACAGATGTATAGCAAGAAAAAAAAGGGTTCTTTGCGTCTCTGTGTTGTATCGTGTCTATTCAGAGAATCACAGTATCTTTGTGTTTCTTTTCTTACTATCGAGTCTACCAGAAACGCGCAAAGACGCATCACGAACATAGGCGACGGCATGGGAAAATCTTGACTTACCCTAGAGCGCACTGCGATATTTTGTATTTTTAGATGTTCTAGTGGTCCAGCCTTGAAAAAACGTGTCCGCCATCCATTGCAGGGATCTCAAACAGCATGATTGGTGACGGGCCCGCTCTCGACAAGGTTAACCCAGTCACGTGTGGAGAAAATGCTGTGCCGGGGCTGGGAATTTGACTTTTACCCTGACTGTCATTTTTGAAAGTGGCTGAGATTTCCCTTCCCTGCCTAGTCTACTCTAGCCGATCTATTACCAGTTGGCGACCCCATCAACGCTCATCCAATCTCTGTTCCCAATTTTCCATTCCTGTTGTTCACTTACTCTGTTGTATAAACCTATGCTCAGGCTTAGGTACGTCCATCTTTCGTATTTACTCGGATAGATGTTGTCTCCGAGAGCTCCGTTATAGGTGGTCTCGCCTTTTACGATTGTCTCAAGGCTGGTCCGATTATATTAGCTGTGTGATTGAGCTGCAACTTTATAACTTTGGTTTGGTAAGTTAGCTATATACGGGGCAACGCTAGGAACGGGCCGCGATCTAATGTTTCCTGATCATTCTCCAAGTCCTGCAGTTGTAACGACGGCGTGTTATTATGTTTGACCAAACGCTGAACTCTCCACAATGCGTATAAAACTACAGAAACGCTATATGTTCGATATACCTTTCATTTAACGCATGTTAGCCATCCAATCGATCGATGATTGACGATATGCCAAGTTGTCTCCATGTTCTTGCGCTTGCTTTGGCTCGCGTCGCTATTATCACGATCGCTCGCACTAAAAACTGATTGGCGGAGTCCTCCTACGAATAACTGTTTGTAAGTCCCATGTTACTCCACAAGCATGGAGGCCTGTTGCCTCAAGACTCCACTTTAGAAGTCAAAGCTGAACTTACCCCGCCTGATTACTTCCTTCCGAATCCTCCCATAATCTACGCTCCAGGACGAACAGATATCTGTTACATCAGCAAAGATTCCACCCGAGAGCTATTCATGTCACTTACTTATTCCTCTCGGTACTTTAATAACCTTCACTAAAACATGGGGAAAATCCGTAGTTGGCTAAGAAGCCGATCGTCGACTCCTGTCCCGCAACGAGAAACGGAGAGTGGATCTGCGCATCCCACTCTTGCACCATCGGCCGGCCAATACAGCTCTCTCGAACAGTCTTCAACGCCTGTATTTCCCGATGGCGTCGAAATCTTAGTAGACACGCCTGGTGCTGACATCGACATCTATTTCGTTCATGGTTTGACAGGCAACCGCACCAGCACCTAGACCGCGCGTGGGCAACCTGCACCTTGGCCGAAGACGCTCCATCCATCCGAGCTACCTAAAGCTTGCATACTCACGTATGAGTGCGATGCATATGTAGTGTCAAGCTCAGTCGCATCATCAAATAGACTGAACGATCACGCGACGAACCTTCTTACCGATCTCATAAATGACCGACGACGTCGTAACGCCTCGGCTCGTCCGCTCATCTTCGTCGTCCACAGTCTGGGCGGTCTTATTTGCAAAGAGTCCATACTGCTATCGCGCAATAACCCGAATCGGTCCCGTCAAGACTTTTTCACACACATCAAGGGCGTTGTCTTCATGGGCACGCCCCACAAGGGCTCGTGGATGGCTGACTGGTCGGGAATACCTGCCAAAGCTCTGGGCCTGGTCAAGTCCACCAACCGATCACTCCTTGAGGTATTAGAAACGAACAATCAATATCTTGAGTCGATCCATGTCAGATTTTTATCTATGATGCGAGAGCAGCGTGAGGCAGGAAGGCAGCTCGAGGTCGCCTGTTTCTTCGAGGAACTACCTCTGTCTACAGTGGGCAAAGTTGTGTCAAAGGAATCAGCCGAATTCGAGGGCTACGATCCAATTACCATCCATGCGAATCATGCAGACATGGTTAAGATTGGGTCTACGGAAGAGACTGGTTTCAAAAGGGTCGTCGGAGAACTCGCAGCGTGGAAATCGGAGATCGGTAAGAGCAGCGGGTGAGCGCATTCACATATTACTGCCGCTGAAGCAGCACTTCCAGGTTTAACTACTACTCAACCGGAGACCAACGCTGTGACTGGTAACTGTTCTGTGAGGCGAAAGCATTCAAAGACTAGTTAGTGTAACCAGACCGTTCATCACTCTGCCACCTTCTGACTCGCGCATAAAAAGAGCCTAGGAAGCATTATCTGCCATTTTCAAGAAACAGGAGCTTTGTAGGACGTGGGGGAGTCATCGCTGAGCTTCAAAGGCGTCTGTTTGCTCATCCTGGTGGCCAACAAGCCGCTCTCGTTGGTTTGGGTGGCGTAGGCAAGACGCAGATCGCCCTTCAGCTTGCGCATCTGGCCAAGAATGACAGGCAAAGTCACCAACAATACTCCGTCATCTGGATGCCCGCACTGAGCATGGCAAGTTTTCAGCGAGCCTGTACTAGAATGGTTAAAATATTTGACATCGAGCATGCCGACAACGAGGACCCAAAAGAAACGTTCAAGGACTTTCTCAGCTCGGAAGAGGCGGGAAAGTGGTTTCTTATCATCGATAATGCCGATGACACGAAGACTTTATATGGAACGGCCCAAGAGCCAGGAGGAATCGCAGATTATATTCCAGATTGCGATCAAGGTTATATTCTGTTCACAACACGGTCTCGTGAGGTGGCTGTCACTGTTGCCCGGAACAATATTCTTGAGCTACATGAGATGGACAAAGAGGATGCTAGAACCCTCCTTCAGAGTTCCGTGATGCAGAAAGATCAGATGCAGGATACGAACTTGGCCGACGGATTGTTACACGAGCTCGCCTATCTACCTCTCGCAATCACGCAGGCGTCGGCATATATAACTATCAACAGAATCTCAATCAAAGAGTATATGCGACTACTTCAGAACACTGACCAGGATATGGTGAAACTGCTCAGTATAGGATTTCGTGACGGCACCCACCACGACACTGCTCAAGGCGCCGTTATCACGACTTGGATTGTGTCCTTTAAACAGATCCGTGCCCTACATGAGGAAGCTGCGACACTACTTTCGTTCGTGTCTTGCCTCGAACCGAAAGCGATACCCCGAACGTTACTATCCCGCTTAGGGACTGAACAAAGTATGACACGCGCCATCGTGCGGGTATAGCTTTTTAAGTCAACGGGAAGATGATGACATGTTCGATATGCATAGCCTCGTACACCCGGCCACACGGAGATGGAACAAAGAGGAGGGACGTGAGGAAGGAATAAAACAGTTGGCATTGACACATGTTACTGAGGTATTTCTAACCGATGATTGGGAGAATCGTGAAGTATGGCGGCAGCATCTACCGCATGCGCTCCGGGTCCTCGCAAGTGTCGATAGTGACGAGAGCGAAGATGCATGTAAGCTGGGATACTGGGTTGGCCGATGTTTGCATGTAGATGGAAAGGCAAGACAAGCAGTGGGCATACTAGGACATGTGGTGTCGATCAGAGAGACGACGTTGGCAGAGAATCATCCATCACGACTGGCATCACAGCACGCACTGGCAGGAGCATACCGAGCCAATGGGCAGGTCGCAGAAGCAGTGAAGTTGCTCGAGCATGTGGTCGCAAAAAAGAGGGAAATAATGTTACCAAGCCACCCCAGCCGATTGGTGTCTGAGCAAAACCTTGAGTACTTTTACGAAATTTTGGATGACCCAACTAGCACATGTTCTCAACGACCCGCTTAACACGAGTGGAACCCGTTTTATAAGATTGTCTCAAAATAATCATAGGCTATATGTTATGTGCTTTGGCATTGGATTTGAAAAGACTTGAGGCATATGTTATAGTACTAGTCCGCAAATATGTTAGACATCTACCTATGTAATGCTAACATAACGGTGAGAAGCGCGGGAATGTATTGTCAGAGTGAAATAAGCAGCTTTCAGCCTCTGGAGTAAAAACTACTGTGGGTCGCCGGAAGCTTGATCGTCTAGGTACATCAAGCACAGTGGATCAGCGATTACTACATACACCCGGCAGGCCTGGTCCGTACACTAGAATCCAAAGAGAGTGTGCAGATGGACAACCGATTTCGAACTCTACTGTATCACTATCTCTGTTGACCGAACTTTCTATGTAGTCATGTGTTGTCCGTCAATCCCTCGGCCTTTTTTGAGCGTCCGACTCATACTAGACTGCGATATGATGACACTACAGTAATTTTCAGGTTCAATTACCATAACGGACTAACACAAATTCAAGCTAGAGGGGTCATTGTGGGGTAGTACAGTGTGCACGAGCACTGACCAAGGTCACTTTCCAGAGCCTCTTGGTCAGAATGCTGCCTGAGGCATTAATTAGAACGGTTGTGGATCAGTGCAAGGCAGTAATGCTGACGTGGCAGTTACGGGTAAGCCAGTCCAAATTCCACCCTTCTTTTCTCATGTAGTCAACAGAGCCAGAACAGGTCGAATAATCCTTCTTTGGACATCGACCACTATGCCACCTCGTCTTACTGATGGACAGCGTGATCAGATTCGGGTCATGTCAGCAGATGGAGAACTCATTAACAAAATAGCTCAAGTCGTCCACTGCACCCCCCGTACCGTCCGAAACGTGCAAGCCAACATCGTGCGCTATGGAACCACGACAGCGCCTGCGAATCGAACCGGCCCCGACCCAAAGATAACACCGTTCATGCAAGAACGGCTCTGTGAAGCACTCGTCGATGAACCTGAGATGGTAAGCCGTAAGATGATCTCGTTTCTCTACAAAGAGTTTGGTGTAGAAGTGTCGCCTTCAACCATCACCCGGACGTTGCAAAAGATCAAGTGGACTCGTAAAAACACCCGCCGTGTTGCAAAGCAGCGGGACCCCGAACTGCAGCATTACTATAATTATAGACTGAAGCTAGGCGGTTTCCGATCCTACCACTTAATATTTATTGATGAGTCGGGCATGGATAAAACCGTCGGACTCCGACGAAAGGGATGGGCCCCCAAAGGTATTACGCCCAGGCAAACAGCTACGTTCCAGCGGGAGGAGAGGTATCAAGTTCTGTCTGCCTATACACAGAGAGGCATCAAGCTGTCGCGTGTCTATCGGGGCTCTACTGACACCGAGACCTTTGTGGACTTCATAAAGCAACTACTTTGTCACTGTAACAAATGGCCAGAGCCGGAATCTGTCCTCGTCATGGATAATGCTACAATTCACTGTTCCAAAGAGATCGAAGAGATGTGTGAGAGGACAGGCGTGAAGCAGGTCTTCACAGCACCATACACACCTGTCACAAGCCCAATAGAGGAGCATTTCGCGGAGCTAAAAGCGTATGCAAAGGTGCGGTGGGACGAGCACATCGATCTCATTCAGAGAGACTTTGGCGCGTACATCAAGTCCTGTGTCGTTGCCGTTGGTGGACGACAAGATAGTGCTGAAGGACACTTCAGGAACGCTGGCTTGACGGTTGAGCATCCTCCTAGTTCAGGTTGTACAGATAACGATGATCAATTGAGGTAGAGAAGGATAAAAATACGAAGATCTAACTGTCATTTCAATGTGTCTGCCCACACAGGGATATCGCCAATGTAAGAGAGAGCGATGCCCAAGGCTACGCCTTTGTCTGTGAAAAATGCAATGTCTTGGACCTGGTAGACATACTTCAAGTCAAAACATGCCTCCATCGTGATTCGATGCGCTTGCCGGAAGCCCGCTTCCCAGTAGTCGCTCTCCACTCGTCCACACAGCCACTCACAGTAGGCAGTTCCTGCTCCATCGATCGGCAAGGGAATGACGATATCAGCGGCCCGCCCACTGAATCCTACCCTACTACCTGCGGCTGTGACATGTGCCCCAATCGGACGGTCCTGCTGAGCCTCGCCGTGTGATCCTGGACAAGAAACACTAATATTAATTGGAGGCAAGTCATCGCCCCTCTTACGTTTCAGCTGCTTCCGTTCTAGATTCTCCTTGTCCTGTCTGAAGATTCGTTCACGGATTGTTTCGGGCACATGGTCATGGTTTCTCAGCAACCCGCCTTCTTCGGCGTAATCGACGAGCGTACTCAAAAGGCTCGAGTCGAGCTTAAAGTGCTTCTTACTGACTGGATCGCGCCAGCAATAAAAGCCTGCGTTGACACACGGAACACCTGTACAATGGAAGACTTCGTAAACATCGTTCCACACCGGACGACTGCCAGAAGTATCTTCCTGCTCGGCGAGGAGTCGGTCTCGGGCAGCGAATTGCCTGCCTGTGGCCCCTCGACGGCTCCGCCGCCCGCCGGTATTTGCAAGCTGTGTTACTTGGTCTGTAGCCTTGTAGATGAAAGATATATCCAACCTCAACTTATGGCCTTCACAGAATAAGAGACTCCATGATTGTATTTTATCTTCGATCGACTTCCACTGGATATCCAAACCCGGGAATTGCTTTCGCAGATTTCGCTCGCTGCGCTTATCGACGGATACGACGACTATGGTCTCGACCGGCTCATGTTCCGGGCTAGGCACTTTGGATGCAACCATCTTGGCGAGTTCAGCGCTAAGGAATCGATCCCAGTATGCACTAGGGGCTAGAGTTAAGTCTTCTTCAGTGATCTCTGCAAGCTTGGACAGTCGTCCTTTCTTTAGCTGTAACTTCCATTCAATGTCATAGTGAATACAAGTCGGGTCAGTCTCGTCATCTTCAAAGTCAGAGTCCCAGCCGCTTAGCTGAAGCAACGGCAGTTTTCGCTTGCCTCCCAGGGCTTGACTATGCCCAGCAAGGCTTCGGCTTGGGCTGTCGAATACGGGGAGCGATGGGGTTCGGTAGTCAAGCTCCAAATAATTGTCTTCATAAAAATCGAGATTTGGGCTCTGCATAATGACTGGAGAGGCGAATTTTTGCACTGTTTAGGAAGGCATCAAGCTGGACGAGGCGACTGCGTGTTCAGAAGGAGCCAAAAAGACACGTGTCCCTTTCGCCTTCGGCGCATGCTCTTTGAGACATCACGTGATAGCTGTGGTTTGTTGGAACCGGGTCATAGCTTTCGGTGGAACGGCCATGGTAACAGCAGCTGCAGGGTAGCGAGGAAACCAGTTATAAGATCTCCGCAACCCACTAGATCCTTATTGCGGTGTACGACTTCGGAACGGGCCGGCGGGTGGGGCAGGCTATAGTTAATTAATCCTTCTAACATTTCGCTAGTGAATGGGTTCCATTCCATCTGCTATCGTACTGAAGTGATCTCAGCGCTGCAATCATGCTTATGTTTATTCGGTCAGAGCTCTTAGGCCATCTGACTAGTCGCCAGCAGTATGGCCATTCAGGAGAACGCTGACATGAGCTCAGCTACCCACGTGACAACGCAAGGCACCAACACAAAGCCCCTCAATCGCGTCCACTTTGTGCCATTTCCATTCTTCCACAACCACGGAACCACGCCATGGCTTCTCAAAGACCACCTATCGACCGCAGAAGCTTTCGAGTAGCCATTGTATGCGCTCTACCCCTCGAGGCCGACGCCGTCAGCCTGCTGTTCGATCACTTTTGGGACAGGGAGCGCGGTCCCTATGGTCGAGCTGATGGCGACACGAATCGCTATATCACTGGACGGATCGGGGGGCACGACGTTGTTCTGGCTGTTCTTCCGAACATTGGCACCAACAGCGCAGCGGCTGCAACTGCCAGCTTACGATCTAGCTACACTGGTCTACACCTCGCTCTCGTCGGCATCTGTGGTGGTGTACCCCGCATCGCCAATTTTGATGCATGTCTTGGCGACGTTGTAGTCAGTAAAGCTATCGTCCAATACGACTACGGCAGGCGATACCCCGGGCATTTTTCCGAGAAGAATACTATTGAAGACAGTCTTGGAAGAGCTAACGACTCTCCTTGCAGTATTCGAAACGGAGTTTGTGAGAAGGACCATTCTCGACTAGCATCGGAGCACGCACTTGCAAGTGCATACCTCGATGACCGACGAATCAAGGATGCAATTGAGATGTTCGAGCATGTGGTGGCCTTTCGGAAATAGACACTAGACGAGAAGGACCATGATCGACTAGCATCAGAGTACAGTTGTGTGCATACACCTTCCTCCTTTACAATATCGTTGCTATTTATATACGCTCCCCACACCGTGTTAATACGTGACAAATTTAGACAGTATACACGAGGCGTCAGCGGAGTTAACCTTCGGCGTAATACTTGCCGCCAACCGATGATTAGTCAGGGACGCCGAGATTATGGTGTGGGACCCTCGTGCCGTTGGCTAGGAACAACCGACTCCAACCATAAAGACTGACTTTAGACCATCCTTCAACAGAGGGGATGGTCCTCAATCTGTAGTGATCTTTTCTGCAACGTCTGGATTTATGTATCGGTGCTAGGTTGACATCTGAGGCGTTCCTACGCAGGCGTGGCGCAGCCAGTTAGATCTAGGGCGGTTAGAGCCGGTCACATGCGGAACAACGTGATGGCGTCACCTGTGTTAGCTCAGCCACGTCCGGAGGAATTAGAAGAGCCGATCCATTGGGCAGCAACGGTGTGACCCGGCTTCTGCCCAAAATAAATCCTGACAATTCATCCAACGTCAAAACTACATTACGAAAGTCATTACGGTAGTCAACCTGACAAGTTTAAGTTTGAACAAAATGGGATCCGCAAGCGGCGATGAAGAGGTTTTCACGGTAAGATCAGTCAATAAATGAAAGAACACCAAGGCTAATAAAATGAGTCTAGAATGTAAATAACCTTGCGACAACTTTTTGAAGCTTGCATTGAAAAAGTTTTTGGATATAGGAAGTAAGTGGGCCTCTGATGCTATATGAGAGTAGCTGGTCCTGACCTAGTGGTGTCTGCTGGTATAGGATGTAAGTGGATATCTGATGCTATATGAGAGTAGCTGGTCCTGACCTAGTGGTGTCTATTGGTATAGACTGTAAGTGGGCCTCTGATGCTATATGAGAGTAGCTAGTACTAACCTTGCGGTGTCTATTGGTATAGCGGGTAAGTGGATCTCTGATGCTATATGAGAGTAGCTGGTACTAACCTTGCGGTGCCTATTGGTATAGCTTGTAAGTGGATCTCTGATGCTATATGAGAGTAGCTGGTACTAACCTTGCGGTGTCTGCTGGTATAGGATGTAAGTGGATATCTGATGCTATATGAGAGTAGCTGGTACTTACCTTGCGGTGTCTGCTGGTATAGACTGTAAGTGGATCTCTGATGCTATATGAGAGTAGCTGATACTAACCTAGTGGTGTCTGCTGGTATAGTTTGTAAGTGGATATCTGATGCTATATGAGAGTAGCTGGCCCTGACCTAGTGGTGTCTATTGGTATAGACTGTAAGTGGGCCTCTGATGCTATATGAGAGTAGCTGGTACTAGCCTTGCGGTGTCTATTGGTATAGGATGTAAGTGGATCTCTGATGCTATATGAGAGTAGCTAGTACTAACCTTGCGGTGTCTATTGGTATAGCGGGTAAGTGGATATCTGATGCTATATGAGAGTAGCTGGTACTGACCTTGCGGTGTCTGCTGGTATAGGATGTAAGTGGATGTCTGATGCTATATGAGAGTAGCTGGTACTAACCTTGCGGTGTCTGTTGGTATAGCTTGTAAGTGGATATCTGATGCTATATGAGAGTAGCTGGTACTTACCTTGCGGTGTCTGCTGGTATAGACTGTAAGTGGATCTTTTATGCTATATAAGAGTAGCTAGTCCTGACCTAGTGGTGTTTGCTGGTATAGCAGGTAAGCGG